GGGGCGGGTGCGGAGGCAGGGGGAGGAATAATAGAGAGTGGGTCTTTCGATAGGTTTGTGGTATCTTTTGATAGGAACAGGGATTTCTTTCGTTGTATGCTTTCTAGTTGAGGAGGCTTTTTGTGTTTTTCCATAGTTTTGTCTTAAAAAACCTGTTTTTAATATATGGCTATCGTTGTTTTCTGATATTTTCTAGTTGATCTTTTTGACATGTAGGGGTATTCTCGAAGACAGTCTCTCGAGACATATGTAAAGTTTGCGTACATTATACTCATCACAACCCTTAGCTCCGAGTGGTATATACTGATTTTGTATATATCATAAAACATTTTGCTATTGTCGTGGTTGAAAGCATCACCCAAGTTATTGTCTGGTCATATCACTATTACCCCTAATATAACATTCACTTTCCATATTCATGTCCTGCACATTGGGTAGATATTTGAACAATTAAATATGTGTGGTTGCATTTATTTGGTAGCTTTAACAGTGAATCATATGTGATAAGGTCAAATCATAGTCATTATGTAACATTTTATACCAACCGCATTGTATATTGTCTGTTTTGTCCACATCTTATAAGGTATCTAGTCCCTTATAAGCCCTCTTGGGAGCCCAATGTCCTCGTTGGCACAATAGTCTGATTCCCGACTTTGGTACCATCTTTAACATCACAGCCCAATCGTACCATACATTTTCCGTTTTGTCCACATCTAAACTCACAATTTTAAAATGCATTCGATATAGAAGTTATCTAGTCTCTTATAAGACAATTTTCGTTCTCTACCCAACTGATGGGGGATTCGGTACAACATGAGAATGGTATTAAAGTAAATAATTTGTTTGTTGTAAATATTATTGTTAATTACTTAAAATTTAACATGTTGAATAAGTTAAGGGACCAAAAATGAATATGATGAAAACATTAGGGGTAAGGAATGCATGAAAGAGTAGAGTTCAGTATCAGTGTCAGGCTTTTGATTCCCACGAGGCCGTTGGCTCCATACCTCACTCACATGCTACGACGTCGTAGAGAGTATTAATTAAACATTTAACGAATCTTTAGTGGCTTCTCAAAAATTAATTTTATATCTTGAAACTTACGTAACCATTTTAGCCCACTAATTTTATTATAAATAATTATCGAATAATTATATTTTATTTTACATTATATTATATTATAATTTTTTTTAATTATTTTGTATTAAACCATTCAGCAACTGTCAAACAATCTATAATAATCACCCAACTCTAATCAGACAAAAAAAAAAAAACACTAAAAACGTTTTTCACAATACCAATATTTTGGACATTCATTTTTTCATTAACCTAGATATCCAACCCGTTATGCTAGCCGACTAATCTCAGGACGACCACATGTTTTGCAGATAGCTCGGAGTCACCGCATTTGAACCTTCATGGCCACAAGGGGGTTTTTATTTCTTTTTGGATTTGAACCTGGGACCTCCAGGTATTTTTGATCTTTAAAGCCAAACTCAAACCAATCAAACACCACCCTTGTAGTTTTATACCTTCATGTTTGTAATGTTTTAGTATCTAATGAGAGATGAAAACACCTTCATCATTGTGTTTTTAGGAATTATTTCTTAGAAACTTGATTTGAGGTGAAATAAATTATTTTTTTTAATTCATTTTCACTAATAAGATTAAACTATTCTTATTTTATGTATTGTTTTTTTTAATGCATTGAGATGATAAAATTATATAATATTTTAACAGTATAATTAATATTATAATTTTTAAAATAAATAATATATTAAAGTGAATTGAAATTTTATTTAGAGATTTTTTGATTTAAAGCATCTCCGACAGTTTTTCTATAATAAAGAAAATTAATTTTTTATTTCCTATAATACTCTAACAGCTTCTCTATCTCATTCTTTAATATAGAAAATCATGGAAAAAACTTCAAATACATGGAATTCTCTAAAAATCCAAAAAAAGAGAAAGAAATGAGTTTTTTATTCATATCATCAATGACAGTTGAATTAATATCATTTTATATATGTTTAAAAATGGTGGTGGGGTTTTTGTGGTCTGGGGAGAGGGGGCGGGGTTTTGTGGTCTAGGGCAGGGGCGGAGATTTTATGGTCTGGGATGGGAGGCGAGGGGATGATAACATTATAGAATATTTAAATAATATAATTAATGATAAAATCTCTAAAATTAAAAATCGGTTGGAAAATTTGATATTTCTTTTTTTTAATTTGAAAATATGTTTTACGTAAATACGTAATCTCTGATTAAAAATGATAATTCAATTCCAAAAATGGTTAAAAATAAATTTGATCAGAAAGATTAGCTATTTTAGTTAATAACCTTTTTATTTATAAATCAATAAAAAACAAAAATAATATATTTTATGTTATTTTTTTAAATAAACCTTATCTTTTTTGCAAGTTTTATGCTTGATTTAACTTTTTGTCTAAGATGTAAAAATTTTAACATTTAAGTATCCGGGTAACCCAGTGAAGATTAATTTTAGACTAAAAAAAAGACTAATTTTAGATTAAAAAAAATCCACGTCACTGACTAGGTCAACAAATAATACCGAGTTGGATACCACATCACTCGCCACATCAGTATGATAACCGGTTAATACTTCAACCAGTTACTCGGGTACTTAAATGTTTAAAACTTTACATCTCTGGTACCAAAACGGAAGTTTTAAAAGTACGTTACCCAAAATAGGAATCAAGTTCAAGTACATTACTTTTTCATGCAATTTACCCTTTTTTTAAGCTACACAATAATTTACTTCCTATTTCCGGTAACAACACTTTTTACGAACCATAACATGTATTTTAAAGCATTTACGATGATTAAACTTCTAAAAATATCACTTGTCATATTTTTTTTCTTATTATATTATTATCATCTGAACAAAATAACCTTAATTTTTTCTTTTTTTTATTTATAAAATATAACTTCATATATGTATATATATATGAAGTTAGACTTGGGATCATGTGAGACCAACAATTTTTTGTGAGACTCGTAAGACCAATTTTCAACACTTGGATTAGATCTACAATCTGAACATTCATAATCACAAAATTGCCACGAAATTTCTCAATAATCACAAAATTGTCACCATACAACTTTAGACCATTAGATTATTAGCTTATAAAATTGATCAATGAACATAAATTGGTCATACGGGTCTCACGTGAACCAAAAGAATATAATGAAGATGAAAACCACTCCAATTTGTAAAAACCGTAAAAAMTACTCTCATCCATCGTTAATCTTATGAAATTTTTTCATGAAATTGTTAATCTTGTGAAATTGTTTCATATAATACTTTTTTTGATGAAGTTGTTTCATATGTGGTTATGAAATTGTTTCATATACTACTTAATG